ACATTTTTTTTTTTTTTTTTTTTTTTTGGCATTTACCAGGCGAGTTACTTCATTTTGACTTATTTTTAAATGCACGTGTGGGAGACATTTATAATCCAGAAACGACCTAGTTAATGGATCAAAATAGAAAATTGAAGTTTTGTTTGAAAAGAGAAGAACAATAGGAGTAAGATACAATAATATACAATAAAAATGACTGGTTGTTTATGGTATTATCAATGGTTTCAAGAAAAGATTGGTCCTTCAATTCAAAATATTTACTCTCAACAATCGTAATAAAATTTATCCACGAATCGATTGGCAATACCATTCAAAAGTTGGGGAAAATTGATAAATATTTTTTTCCAAAATTAAGATAATTACAGAGAACGATGATTCATATCATCATAAAAAAAGATGGTTAAATTTCTTCTTTTTAACATTCGTCAATAAAACGTATTAATGAAAATTCATGCAAGATGATACGTGCATGATGTGCAAAAGAATATGACAATATGGCAAAAATATCATAACTTTTTGATAATTATTGTCTAATCGCAATTTCATTGTTCATCAAAGTAGTTATATACAGTTGAATAATTTGCACGTTACATATAAATTAGGATAATTTTCAGTACTCGTGTATTTCTGTTTCGGTGAGCATATCTACACCTTATATTCTTTTTTTCTTCAACGAACTAAATACTTTTTATATTTTCGAAGATGCTGAAACATTAAGTAAAACTATCAATCCAATTCCTAAAGCAGGATATTTTAAAAAATTTTTTTTTTTTCTCCATCGTGCCTCAAAGATTTTAATAACGAATGCAATATTATTTTTTTAATTGTATCTAAAATTAAAAACAATTAAATAGCAATCATAGATAATCAATAAAATTCTTAATATTGGTGCAATCAAAAAATTCATTCAATTTTTATAAGTAACGAATAACAATGATTGAATATTTTCTGTTACAGAGAACACCAATGCGCCCAATGATAGCGGAATACGACCCAAAGAAGCACGGTGTGAAAACAGAACTGTCAGACACGGTTCTAGTCAAGTAAGTGAGAAAACTTGGTTTACGAAACCGACGCGAACGAACGGTTCAACGATAGTCGAGCAATTCACTATCTGCTACCACGACCAATCATCACCATTGCTTTCTTGCCAAACTCAAATGCTCCGCGCTCAAGCAAACGTGAGTGACAATCCGAGGATCATATATTGTGCATTATATCGTATATATGTGTATTCTCTCATTCTCTGTGCTCTTTGATATCATATTTAGTATATACATATACATATATATATATATATTTCTTCAATATATATATTATATTTGTTTAATATGTATTATATATTCTATAATATTACGAATAACTTCACAACTAGTTCATGCATACCGCCTGTGATCGCTAACGTAGAATTCGTAGCGTAGCTGGCACCAGGGATGCTTGACGATTGTCCGCCGAATCGTGATTGATATCGCTGGTTTGTGCAAAAAAAAAAAAAAAAACGGGCTTCCCTTTTTTTTAAATGGGCGGCTGCCATGCACTCGGGACGGTTTTATTTTCCCTTCTTTCATTTTCCCCCTTCTTTTTCGTGCTCTTTTTCCTTTCAAAAGAAAAAAAAAAAAAAACGGGCTTCCCTTTTTTTTAAATGGGCGGCTGCCATGCACTCGGGACGGTTTTATTTTCCCTTCTTTCATTTTCCCCCTTCTTTTTCGTGCTCTTTTTCCTTTCAAAAGAAAAAAAAAAAAAAACGGGCTTCCCTTTTTTTTAAATGGGCGGCTGCCATGCACTCGGGACGGTTTTATTTTCCCTTCTTTCATTTTCCCCCTTCTTTTTCGTGCTCTTTTTCCTTTCAAAAGAAAAAAAAAAAAAAACGAGCTTCCATTTTATTTAAATGTGCGGCTGCCATGCACTCGTGACGATTTTATTTTCCATTCTTTCATTTTCCCGCTTCTTTTTCGTGATCTTTTTCCATCCAAAAGAAAAAAAAAAAATAGTTTTTAAGATAATTTTTAAAATAACACAAGATGATTTTGTAAAAGTAATATTATATCCTCTTGCATATACCATACCGAATGATAATAAATTCGTGTTACACGATTATTTAACTTTTGTGATATTTTTTTTTTCTTATCATGGAAATATTATCAGGATTTTTTAAATATTCATGAATATTAAAAAATAGATAAACAAATGCGTAGATTGAAAATTTTAATGTGTTAATTCAAATTAAGTTAAATTTATTCATATTTATAATGTTTTGTAAGTGGAATATTATTAAAAAAATTATGAAAAGAGTTTTGGCAGCACACAATGTAGATATTGTTTCGTAGATTTTATTTTATATTAATTATATTACTTTTAAAATCGATATCAATTAATTATATGAGTCAGTAGTTATGCAAATTTGAATATCTTTGTTACGAAATTAAATTAAACTGATTAAACTTCAAAATAGAATTAAAAAAATGAATTTAAAATTCCATTGATATAATTAGTTAGATAATTCGTTAAGTAGTACAAAATTATATAATACCAGTTATTATGAAATAATACCATAGTAAAAATAGAATTTGATAACGATTTTAAACTGTAATTAATAAATAATTAAGTAAATTAATATTATTTAAATATGCATGTATTCATAAAAATATAAATATTTTTATGAAATTTACGCAAGCAATATTATAGTATATATAATATGATATACATTTCACTATAATTATAGGTTAGGTTTCAATCCTAATTTTCAAAACATTATTATTATTTTTATTTTCAATTAATAAATTACAACAAGATATTAAATTTAAAATAAGGAACAAAACAAGATAAAATACAAATCAGAGAAATCACAATATACATAAATAATGCATGAAAGAGCCAATTTTCCGCACAAACGAGCGATTCTATAGATTTAGCGGCAAGACGACGAAATTCTTGGATCCTTTGCGCACAAGATGGAATTTCTCCTTACTGCACTTTTAAATAATATTTTTCCACGGTCTTTTTGTTTCTTCCTGTCATTTTAAATAATTCACACTATCCGTCTTCGTGTTTCTTATTGCGGCGTTACGTTACGTTATATAAGTTAGGTTCCACGTTCAATAATCGATCAATTTCAATGTGACAAATTGTATAACGTAAAAATGATCGTATAACAAGAAAGAATGGATAATTAGAGATCTTGGAATTATTCGCGATTATTATTTTTCGTTTTTTCTTTCTCGATATATGTATATATATATATATATAAAATTAAATTTATAATGCACAATTGTTGCCTCAATGGAAACACGGTTTAATCTTTTTTAGTGGAACATCAATTTATGCGAAACACCTGTTGAGTAACACATCGTTTTAATTGTCACGTGTTTGGAAGTTTCATACAGGAAGTAATTAACGAGGCTGACAAGGTCGGTTCAAAGAATATATTTCATAATTGAAAAGCTACTGCTATTATTCTTTTTATAAAACGAAGTGGATTATCTCTGTGGATTAATCTTTTACGCGCCTCTTAATATATAAACGTAAGCTATTCATTACTCGCGGTAGTCATTAAAATTAAAATGATAATTACGTAAATGGGATTGTAATATTAAAAATTATTAACGCTATCGTATAAGTTTAATTAATTTGAATTAGTAGCGATTTCAAAATTTTATAAGAGGAAAAAAGATTTATATTTATTTCTTTTTTATCATTAAAATTTGAAAAATAAAGAAGTCATATGTTTTTTTTTTTTTATAATAAAATTTAAAATTAATGAAAAGATAAAGAGTAGAGGATAGAGATATATACAAAATATAAAAAACAAGGTGCAGAAAGGAGAGAATCCTCGCGGTTTCTTCGTAATTGAGGCCATGCGGTGTGCAAGCAAATGTGAACTATGTTCCTCTGAAGGATTCTAATGAAGATGAAATCTGTCTTTACTATATAATATGTGCATTTATATGATTCCAGACTTGCGTATAAACTGCGGGCATAGATTCGGGCTCTATGAAAGTGCTCTGCGAATAATGTGAAAGTGACAAAAATGTAAAACATATAAAAAAAAAAAAAAATAAAAATAAAAATATAAAAATATATATACATATACGGTACACCGTTTTAAGAGAAAGAAACGGCACGGTCTCTTTGATGGACGATCGCGGGTTCAAAACGCGGTTTATATCGAGACGGTTTTGTTACGATTGACGTGTACTGGCGCCGTTCGATTGAGCAACGGTGAAACGCTTCGTCAAACGAAACAAAAAAAAAAAAAAATAATAATAACAATAATAATAAAAAAACGAAAAAAGAAACATTGGAATTA